CTGTCCTTGCTCTTCAATGAGCACCTTGTTTCCTACTGCACTAAGAAATCAGAAGCAATTAGAAAAGAACTTCTATATGCTTCCATTTCTCCTCTACCTGCGTCAGTAGCTACGTTCTCAGCCTTCCTCCCTTCCAACAATGCAAGGATGCCGTTCTAGCAACAGTCCCTTTTCTGGATCATCAGTTTCTCCCTCTTACTGAGCCAATACTATTGGTACTCAAATATGCTATACCATCTTCCATCTTAAAAATGAATAAAACCTGCCCTACTCCAAATTCTCTCTTTACTTATGACTCAATTTTTCTGTTTCTTTTTTACAGCAAAACCCCTCATAAGAACTGTTTATACTCACTGTCTCCAATTTTTCTCCTCCCAAAGTCTCTTTAACCCACGCTCAAAAGGCTTTAGTCTAAGGGCATTCTACCAAAGTGCCTGCCAAAGTCATCAACAGCTTCTGCACTGAAAATTCCAAGGGTCAATCCTCAGTCCTCATTTTCTGAAACCCACTATAGCAGCGTGTGACGCAGGTGCTTATTCCTGCCTTTCTGAGGCCATTTCTTCATTTGGTTTTCAGGACAGGACTCTGCTTTGCTTTCCTCCTCCGATCACACTCATGGTTTCTTTGCTCCTTCTTCTTCCCAGTCTCCCTGACCTCTAACACGCTGGGGTGTCCCCACCTCAGTCTCTGGTCCTTTTCCATTTCTACTCGTTCCCTCCAGTTATTTATTCAAGTCTGATGGCTTTAATTACTACCTGTATGCGAATGATGTAATAATTTCCACACTTCTATCTCCTGCCCAGATCTCCCTACTGGACTCTAGTTGATCTATCCAATTGCCTACTTGACATGCCCCGCTGGATGTTAAATAGGGATCTCAAATTTAAAATGTCTGACACCCAAACTCCCAACTTGTTATCTCATCTCAACAAATGAAAGTGCCATTTGTCCAGTTACTCAGGCTCAAAACCTTGGATTACTGAAATAGCCTTTTATCTAATTATTTGTGCCCCTGTCCCCTTTGTTACTCCTACAGATTGTCTATTCCCTATCCAGCAGCCACAAGTCAGACAATTTTACTTCTCTGCTCAAAACTTCCAATAGCTTTTCCATTTCAGAGTGTGAGTGGCAGTCCTTTTTATAATGGCCACAAGACTCC